TTATCTTACCCTCCAGAAAGAGTCAGGCCTTTTGTTTCCAAGCTGCCGGCTGTAGTTTGATAATGAACAGACAGACATTGGAGTAAGAGAGTCGATCTTATACTTTTGCTCTAACGCTTCAATGCGCGACTTTCATATTGTGTTGATTTTGGCAGTCCCTGTGGACAAAAGTAGTGTTTCAAGTACCAGATTCCTTTTAGAAAACCTATTTATTTTGACTGCTGCAGGGTCAGTCCTGATTGTGGTTCTTGCATGCCTCAAGTCCCTTCAGCGGGCCCAGCAATATGGCCTGGGTCTCCAGCAGCGTGGTGTCTGTGTTTGCTTCCAGTGGAGCAGCAAAGCAAAGCTCTGCTTCTGGCCGGAAGAAGAGACGCTGCTGACGGGCGCTGATCTCTTACCTCCCGCCTGATCTGGGTCTGTCTCGACCCAGATCAGGCTGCCATAGGCCCTGCAGGCCCTGCTGGAGTCTTAAGCTGAAGGAGTTTCTGGTGAACCTGACCCGATGGCACAGATGGCACGTGTTAAGAATAACTATATAGAAATAGTCAAATCTTCTCGCTGATTTTCTCGTTTACTTAAGTAGGTCATAAAGAGGCATCAGTATCAAATTGAGAACATTTCATAACCAGTTAAAAAAATCCTTACAGTACCTTCAAGCAGACACTCCTTTAGTACTGCGCTTCATACGCTGGACATCCTAATGTATGTGGCACAGGTGGAAAACAACTTTATGTCCTTAGTTTGGGTCAAGTTCCAAAAACGTTTGATGCTACGCTAGCCATAAAGCAACTCAATGGTGACGACATCATCAGGATTATTTTCTCAGACTCCCTCCAGAGACACAGATGACGTTATACAGCCGTTTGTCAAAGTGAAGTTGGTTGAGTGCCCCTTTTTAGCTTTAGGCCTGTGCAATGAAAAGACTTGGTGTCAGCTCTGTAAAAATAACTATAAACATAGATAAGCATATAGAGGCCGAACAACTTTAAATGTGCTTGCAGTTTCCTTAAAAGACTTGTGACTTGCCCTAAAAGACTTGAGACGTACAAACGGTACTTGTAATGTTTATAGTTTTCATCATGCATATACTTCAGTGCTACATGATTTCAGATTTTCAGATCAGCATTTGTAAGAGCACGTGGGGCAGCTAGCTACTATCAAAGATGTTCTTTGTTTATAAACTCAAATAGATATTTGAGTGCTCAACCTGATGTTTATGGGGTGGGGGTTCCGGTAAAATAAGACTGTTTAAAGTTGGAGGAATGTTAATGAATCACTCCAGTTTTCTGCCCTCTGGACCAACCCCACCACTTCTCCTGCCCAGTGATCCCAGAAGGAATTCTCAACCCACATGTCAGTTCCACTGAACTGACATGTTTCCTCTCCCAGCTGACTGGGATTAAAGGCAAATGTTCAGTGCCGGCTGATCATCTGTCAAACACTGAACTCATATTGCAGCTGTGATTGTGTGTTTAGAGTTTGATAAAAATGTCTGCGTCGAATGATGGAGAAGCTCACTTGATAAACAAGAGCTCCTAGTGTACGCGTGTGTTCATTTGTCTTTTTAGATAGTTTTTTTTGAGCATTGTATGCTTTCATTTGATAGAGGTAGTGGAGAGAGAAGGGCAATGTTGGCCTTTGGTGTTTGTACATGCTAGTTTGATCCAGTTCAGGTGTAAATTAACTTGAGTTTCAACTACTTGTGTTATGTGGGACGCACTAAAATGCATTTACTCAGCAAATCGGTCCACTTCTATTCTTCCCCACCCTCTGTCCACCCTCTCTCTGTTTTACATTCTTTCACTGTCTTCCTGTATTCCTCATTTCTCTTTCATTTCCTGTTCCCTGCTGTTGTAGCTGTATTTAAGGTCGGACTAAAATAAACCATATCTGATGAGGGCCTGAAAGGGTGGGTGGGGGGGATTTAAAAGTTATAGACCATTAACTGGGAGGGAGTGGGTGGTGTGTGAAATGGTTTGAGGAATTCAGAAAGTAGAAGGAGGGATGACAGAATATGGAGGGGAGAGGATAGGGAGTCCCCACCCTCTTCTCTCTCCCTCTGTCATCCCACTCCCCTTCTCTTGGCTGACCTTATTTGGTCATGTTACTGTGGCTATAGCAGGAGGACAGTGAGAGAGAGAGAGAGAGAGTGAGTGAGTGTGGGAGAGAGAGAGAGAGGGGGAAGGATGGACAGATTGTTCTTTTTTTCTTCTGGTTTCGCCCTCTCAGAATAGAGAGCTTTGGTCTGATGAGAGATGAAGTCAGAGGAAAGTCAGGACTCAGAGGGAGGAGTCGCTGATGGGCAGAAGTTTAACTCTGCGGGGGAAATTGTCATTGTATTTAATGTGCTCTGGTTAACCGTAGGCGAAACTAAACTTTCAGCCACGGGTAAAAGTGTCTGTGTGCTTCAGTTTGCACTCGTCGTGCAGCTTGATACAGAAGAGGAAGTCCTCTGGGACAGAAGAGGAACTCTGTTATTCTAAAACTGTGTCCACATGCAAATTGAGGAAACGTTTTCCCTGCTGGCTAGTTTCTACGGTATCTATGAAAATGAGCAGCACAATCAGAGTCTTGCTGACGACAGCATCGTCTCATGGTTGCTGCAGTTACGGACTTTGACTGACCATGATTTATGCTGTGTCACATCAAAACACACACACAACCACACACACACACACACACACCCACACAGAGGTTATTGTGTGCTGTCCCTTAGTCTAACCACAGGATGTAACTACATATTACTATACTTGTATATGGGTCATTGACAAATAAGGCTTCTAAAAAGGTAATTTTAAAAATTATCTTCAAATGGATGGAATGCATATTTTTGTGTCTGGAAAAATGTGGTGAAACAAGTCTAAGTTGTGAACCAACTTTTCAAAGTATTTTAAATCGTTTTTAACAGTATTTTTTAACTTCACAGGCTAAAAAATGTCAGGTGGCGCAACCACATATTTATAAAGAAATATATATTTTCCTAATATTTATTCAAACTGAAATTTTTGACAAGTATCCCTTAGAGTGTCTACTGTGTCTAACACATCGTATTTTGTGGTTGTGTTTCATATATATATATACAATAATTTATCATAATTGCGTTCTCTTGGCCAGATATTTAGTATATTTAACTTTTGATTTTACATTTAAACAGAGAAACATAATAATACAAATGAATACATTCAATACAATAGTTCTTCACATCATATTAAGCAAAAACAAATTCACTTTAACCTATTATTCATTTCTTTAAATTACTATTTTATCTGGTCGCACCACCATGACATTTATCAGTTGTGCCACCTGACAATATTAGTAATCGCAGGAAATATGCAGACAATTTGCATTTTGTTTTCAAATACAACAACATGCTTTTAGTCAACAGACTCTTTTTAAGTAAAAGAAGTAAATATTTCATAGTAATCATGTTTAGCACATGACTGGAACAGGCAAAACCACAGTCGCTTCCACCTGGGGTGTTGCAGCTTCTACCTAATTGTGGCAGCGTTTTGCACACACTCCATACATGACTTGTTGTCTGCTCCCTGCGTCGTGCTGGTTTTGCTTTACTTGACAGTGGCATCCTTAATAGTTAAAAAATATTCATTAATATCATAAAAAATAGTTTGAAAGTGTATAATATTGTTAAGTTAACACTGTTAAACTTTTGAAAAAAATTGTAAATAATGTTAGAGCTTTAAATATAATATCATAGAGTAACATTCTTTGCAGTTGCACCACCTGCCTTACTGGTTACGGCACCTGCCATTTGCAACTAATTTCAAATTAAACAGGCATCTACGAGGACACTAGCATTAGCTTTTGTTCTTGCTAACAACTTCATACATATACATTTAAAATAGAATAAAGACATTTATGATAAAATAACATTTTTCTAGTTTTACATTGGTTGTACCATCCTGACATGGAAAGTGAACCACTCTACCTATAAGTTGAAAGTAGCTGTTTTTATCAATATTGAAAAGAAATATAAAAACATTTTCACTCTGCTATAAAGGTCAGTTGAGGTCCTCTTGATGATGCAATATCCTGTTTACTGTTTTCCACTTTAATTTTATAATAAAAGTCCCATCTTTACAGCTGTGCCACCCTGACATTTGAGAACATTTGAGAACATTCAAATTGCTGGACAAAGGTTTTTAAATTATCGCAACAGCTTAAAACTATTGGTATTTGTAAAAATTTGGTTTATTTGAATTGTTTCAACAATAAAAGCATGCCATAGTATTTTATTTTGAATTTATTATCATTTAAATACCTTTTTTAATAGTTTTCTTAGTCTGTTCATCTGCTAGGACAGGTGCACCGCCTGACATTTTCAGGGTTTGAGAAGCCAAAACATAAAATAATATATATCGTTTGATTGTACTGAAAATGTATCAAAACTAGATAGGTTTTATAGAATGAAATTATATATGTCACGAATTGATACAATTATTTTAAAAGGAAATGGTGGACTCGGACACAAAAATATGCATGTCTTGTCATTGACCCACATATGGCCGAGTGCACACACACATGTCCACGAACACAAACGCATGCTTTCCTGTCCATCGTTGCTGCTCCCTGAGGCAGACAAAGCCATTCAGGAGAATAGTGAATATCTTTTTAAAGGGCAAACACACACACACACACAAGTTCACAGAGAAGAGTGTGTGAAAATAGTGTGTTTATACTGTTTGGTTATGAGGTCTTTAAATACATCACTTGACATGTGAGAGAGGGGTCGTTCATTAAGTTAAGCCTGTTGTGTATTTTTCATCTGTGTTTATTGAACATCTTGTATCGTCTTGTTTTAGCAACTGAGCTGTTGCTGTGACTCGTCTCCCACACTGCAGCACCGACAACTTCAGGCTTCATTCACAACAGCGCATCGACATAATTCTTCCCAATCTCTCTGTCTTCCTCCATCTCTTTTTTTCTACGTACTGATCTCTATCCATGCATCTTCGTCTCTGTATTTCTTTCTCTCTTTCTAGACTGTCTGTTCAGACTGTGTCCCATGAACCGCTACTCTGCCCAGAAGCAGTTCTGGAAAGCGGCAAAGCCTGGAGGGAACACGGACACGGTGCTCCTCAACAAGCTCCATGTAAGTGACAACATG